GGGGGGGGGGGGAGGGAGAGGAAGGGAAGGAGGGTCAGCGGCGGGCAGGGGGCCGGGCGGGCATCTTCCCGCCTCCGCGGGCCTCGAGAGGGAAGTGGCTGCCAGGGCTGAGTTTCCCTTTCGACTCGGGATGCCCCACCCAGGAGGCGAAGGAAGCGCGCTGGGCCTGGAGGCGCCGCAGGCCGCGATGACACACTCCGCAGGAACGTTCACCTGGGAGGAAGACCCAGGGAGGGGAACGGCTTCGGGGCCGCGGGGGCGGCGGTAGGGTTGCAGCCCTGCCCGCAATGGGGCGCCTCCGTAGAGGATGAAGAAGGCAAGGGGACGCGATTCCCGGGCATCGGACCTGGGACGAGCGCGGCGGGGGACACAGACCGAGCCCGACTGGGAATCTGGCCTTAGGTGGCCTGGAAGCCGGGGCCCCTCTTCGTCGTCGTCAGCTACTGGGCGCTTTTCGCTTCCACGTCTTAAAGGATGACTCCTTTACACTAAAAGCCACTTTAATTAATCCTGACCTGATAAACGCGCTTACTTGGGGACTGGCCTGTAGCTAACATGGGGCCCACGGGGCCTGGCCCCCTAGTGTTTCCTCTGGGCCCCTCCCTCCTGGCCTGCCCCCAAAGTGCTCCAACTTACCACCTGCAATGTTATTTCATTTACTTAGCTGGCAGGCCCCCCAAGCCCCCCTCCCAAAGACTTCCCTAGCTACGGGGCTGCTTGGGGAGCAAGCCCTATGAAATGGAGTGGGACTTGACTTCAGTGTAAACATGCATATGAATGGTCCTTTTGCATAGGGGCCACCGTACGGGGGAGTAAGCCCCCAATCTGCATGCATGGGAGCAGGCACCAAGCTTGGCTATTCTAAGGCGGTTCATATAGGAACATACATACAAACCATGGCTCTCCGGGGTCTTTCACCTCACCTCCTACCTGATCCTTTTAATTGAAGAAGGTAATTCTTGAACCTGCACCTTTGGCTTGCAAAAAGAGAGGACCTGCTATTGAGCTGTGCCCCCACCCTGATAAAACGAACTCATGCAGCTTTCTTATACAGTGTTATATTGTTGGCCTGTCAAGGTCAGGCATTGCCAACTCAGATTGGCAGCAGCTCTTTTGGGACTCAAGGACAGGCTTTTCGCATTGTCTGCTACCTGATCCTTTTAAATTGAGACACCAAGGGTTGAATTTCGGGCCTCTGTTATACACACACACACACTCATTATTTATAGTCTGCCTTTTTCACATGGACTCAAGGAAGATCACTCATAGTGAGCCAGTAAAATCAACAAAATGGGACATTCAGTAGCCAGTGCATTAGCATATTAGAAGTCTGGAACCACCAGAAAGAACTCAAGCATAGCATAAGTATTCACCATGACACATTAAGTGGTATAGAAATTACATAATAGGATCCTACTTACAATAACTTATTCACAGCAGTATAGATCACAGTCCCTAATAATTTATTATTGAAACAAGTTCTTACAACCATTTTGTCCAGTGTGACCCTGTTAGCTGTGCGTGCGTGCATGCAAAGCAGGTGCTGTGCCCTGAGCCACATTGTCGGTTTGTCTGCTACACCAAGGAGAAATGAGTCTAGTGGCACATTAAAGACTAACAGGATTTCTCCCCAGGTACTATTACTAATCTTGAGTGTGTCATTGGAGTCTTATTTATCAAGTCTAACAAGCAGCACTGCTGATTTCGGTGAGATTACGCCAGATTCAATAAATCTTAAAAACTGATGAGGCCGTTTGCTATCTTTGCTCCTGACTAGGTTTTGTTACATAGAATCAGTAGGCCAAAAAGTTTGTTACTCTTATATGTCAAGGTTACAAAAGGGAAACTCCTTTCAGGTGCAAGGTGTGTCTGTAAACAGCAGGCATAGATATATTTGTTGAGAAACCAGTCATGCAAAGTGGTTAAGATAACAACAGAAGAAGAGACGTGCTGGATCAGACCAGTGGTCTATCTAGTCCAGCATCCTGTTTCACACAGTGGTCAACCAGTTGCCCTGGAGGACCGACAAACTGGGCATAGAGGCCACGGCCTTCCATGATGTTGCCTCCTAGAACTGGTACACAGGGGTTTACTGCCTCTGAACGTGGAGGGCTATGGCAAGTTGCCACTGATGGACCCATCCACCATGAATTTGACTCGTCCTGCCTATGCTTATGGCTATCACTATATCTTCTGGCAGCATATTCCACAATTACTCATTGAGTAATAAAATATTTCCTTTTGTCTTTCCTCAGCCTGTTGCCCATCGATTTCATTGGGTGCCCCAAGTTCCAGTGCCATGTGTGAAAGAGAAAATAGATACTTTGTTTTGTCCATCCTGAATCTAAAAGGATAAAATGGATTTTTCTCTGACAGCCCATGTGTGATGCCCAAGACTAATTTTAAATTTGTTTGGAATAGTGGTGGCATGTACTAGGGTTGCCAAGTTGTTTTTACTCACCGGCGGGGGAGCGTTCCTTCGGTCCGGGAGCTGCTGCGGTATGCACGCACAGGAAGTGACACACGACGTAGAGCACGTTGGGGGCATGGCCCCAATCGTTGGAGGGAAAACCATAGAGTTTTCCCTCCAACGATTGGGGCCACGCCCCCAACGTGCTCTACGTGGTTGCGTCACTTCCTGTGACGCACCCACGCTGCGCTTCGGGGGGCGGGGTTCCCCCCAGGGCCCGATTCCGTGGCGGCGGAAATTGGGCCTCCAAAGCGGGGGTTTACCCGCCCCCCGCCCCCACTTGGCAGCCCTAGCATGTACTAATAATCTGATCTAAACAGACCGACCGGTAGCTAATCTAAAATGGAAAACTATCAACATTCAGCATGGGGGGGGGGAAGGGGGAAGGCCCAGACTTTCTCCCCAAACAGTAAAAAGCCACGTGAGAGCACAGTGAAGAGGAAGAGGAAGGATCAGGTACCTCTGTATGTGACAGGATTGGGGAGTCAAGATCTCTCAACATCTTCTGTTTCCTGTAACAACACTAATCAGCAGGTTCTTCTCACTGATACAAATCTCCACCCCTTCTGTTGATATTGGCAACAGTAAAGAAAAAAGACAACCACCTGTCGATGTGTGTGTGTGTAGACAATAACAGCCAAGAGAGTCTTTTTTTGAAACTGAAACATACTGTGTGGATCAGGGAAGCTAAACCCAGTGTGTTGACACTAAACCAGTTCGATGTGGTGGTTAGGAGTGTGGACTCTAATCTGGGAGAACCGGGTTTGATTCCCCACTCCTTCACATGCAGCTGCTGGTGTGACCTTGGGTCAGTCATAAGTTCTTTCAGAGCTGTTTTCTCAAGGGCAGTTCTCGAGAGCTCTCTCAGCCCCACCTCCCTTCACAGGGTGTCTGTTGTGGATAGGGAAAGGGATTGTAAACTGCTCTGAGACTCCATCGGGTACTGAAGGGCAGGGTATAAATCCAATTTCTTCTTCTTACAAGGCTTGAAACTTTTTTCTGCCAGCCACACTGCTGCTGACAGCATATACAGTACTGCAGTAGATGGGCCAATGGTGTACGGCAGTTTAATATGTTAGAAGGGTGCAACTGTCCTTAGGATGGCACTGTTAGTCACACTGAACAGTGCCATGCTAAACAGAGTTAAACCCTCTAAGTGTTTTGAAGTCAATGAGCTTAGAACCTGAAGGACCGCCTTTCCCCATATAGACCCCAGAGAGCACTACAGTTGGGGTCACAACATCGGTTAGTCATTCCAGGCCCCAAGGATTCCAGGCTCACGGCCACCAGGGCCAGGGCCTTCTCAGTGGTGGCCCCTCACTGGTAGAATGAGCTCCTGGAAGAGATCAGGGCCCTGTGGGACCTTTTACAGTTCCGCAGGGCCTGCAAGATGGAGCTCTTCCACCAGGCTTTCAACTAGGAGCAGCCACTACCACCAATTATTACCACCTGACCATCGAGGTGGATAGGGTCGGCCCTGGGGATAAGGATGGAGATAGAGCTAGGTCTCCGCAGGTGGCCAGAAGGCTGCTGAAGGGGGAAACTGGGGGAACTGTGATTGTCGTTTAGGCCACACCATTCAGAGCTTAATAAATGGAGATCAGTACTGCGAGCATTTTAAATGTATGATTGTTTAACTATTTTTAAACTGTTTAAAAATGCTTTAATTGTTTTATGTAAACCAGGTACATTGTGCCGACTTTGTAAGCCGCCCTGAGCCCGTTCGCGGGGAGGGCAGGGTATAAATATGCTAAAATAAATAAATGAAAATAGAAGAGTGTAACCGTGCTTAGGATGGCACTGTTGTTGTTGGTGGAAAGCGCCGTCAAGTCACGGCCAACTTAATGGTGACTCCTGTAGGGTTTTCAAGGCAAGAGACAAGTGGAAGTGGTTTGCCATGCCTGTCTTTGGATTTCCTTGGTGGTCTCCCAAGTACTAACCAGGGCTTGTTAGTCCCTTCTAATTTTTGCTGGCTTGTAAACACTGGGGTATATCCAAGTGTATGTGGACTTCGTGGAGTGGGATTTTCTTGCTGCAGTCCACGGAAATCCCTGAAATTTTATTCCCAGAGGTCAGCAAACTCTCAGGAACAACACAGGGGCAAAGTGGGACTCTGCAGTGGGAGGACAGAGCTGGAAATCACTGTCCCATCTTCAGGTAATGGAAATGCCAGAGGGACTGCTTGGTTCAGTGTAGGCCATCCAGTGCAGCAGCACAAAGAGATCCCTGTCCCAAGGCCATACTGCTCTGCGGTGAGACTTCCTGGTGTGGATTACATGGGAACAGAGTACCATCCTAAAGATGCTGGAATGGGCCTAATGTTATTGAGAGCCGGGGTGGTGACGTGGTTAGAGTGCCAGACTAGGACACCCAGGTTCGAATCCCCCCCCCCTGCCATGGGAGCCCGTTGGGTGACCTTGGGCCACTCACAGTCTCAGACTAAGCTACTTCACAGGG